AAAAATCCCTGTACCCGTTTTAAAAAAATCCACCCGCCACCCGGTTAAGCCGGGGTGTTATATATTAACCCCCAAAGTGCCATTAGGGGGGGGGGGGATCGCCCCTGCAAAAAGCTTGGCGTCTACATCAATGAAGAAACTTGGTATATTATAGTTCGTCCGTCAAGATCGACCATTTTAATCACGACCGTATCCAGGTCAGCTCTGAAATTTAGTTGAGGGTTGAGAGGAACGCCACGATGCTCGATTCTTCCCATTTATTAGAGTTCATATCAAACGCTTTCGTTGAGGCTTCCGTGTTGTCTATGAAGAATTTCTTCTGCCCACCAGCAAAGCCCCATCCATGATCGAGCTCACCATAGAATATTCTTTTGGGTAAGCGGTTGTCTGACCCAGAAGCTTATAACGAGGCTGTGATAACCCCGCCAGGTACCACGACTACAGAGCTAAAAAATCTATTAAATGCTAATTCAACAGTTTATTTAAAAAACAAACAAACAACTATTTAAATTTGAGGCAAGAGTCTTGAGAAGAAAACATTTCTTCACTCTAGGCCGGATCTAACAATTTTAACACCCTGTGCAATACCAGACTTTGCTGCCCTGTGCAGTACCCCACTTTCCTGCCCTGTGCAAGACCATAACTTTGCCCCCCCCCCTTAAAACTAAACTTTGCCCCCCCCCCTTAAAAAAAAAAGTAAGTTTTAAATTTAAAAAAAAAAAAAAAAAGGAAATAAATGATAAATAAATGTTGATTTACTCTGGATTCGTGTTTACAAATGATACAATGGGCTTTACAACACAAGTTTCAGATTTAGAGCAGGTTGAATTAGGTGAAACACAAGTTACAACTTTGGGAAGGAGTGAAATAGGGGAACACAAGTTTGAGACTTAGGAGGAGTTTAAGTTGGTGGAACGTACTACTAACTATAAGTTTTAATTCAGTTGTTCTTAGTTGGTGGAACGTACTACTAACTATAGGTTTTAATTCAGTTGTTCTTGAAAAGTTCAACTTGCATTTATAATAAGTAATAATCATACCCCTCTCCGTACACATCTCATCTCAACATACATTCATATCTCATCTCCACACACACATCTCTATACACAGACACATCTCCACATCTCATCTCCACATACAAATACATCTCCACACACACATCTCATCTTCACACACACACACATCTCCACATCTCATCTCCACGTACAAATACATCTCCACACACACATCTCATCTTCACACAAACACATCTCCACACACATACACATCTCCACTCCACATACAAATACATCTCCACACACACATCTCATCTTCACACACACACATCTCCACACACATACACATTTCATCTCCACACACATACACATACCCACAGAACTGTAGGGAACCAGGTACAATAACGCCCACCATATCAAGAGTGGAACACCTTGTTGACTTTTCATACTGTAATGTTTTTTTTATTGGTGAAACAAGTGAGCTCGCAAGACTCAGGGTAAAAACCGAGGCTACAATGACATTATGTACAATGAGTTTGATGGGCAGAATGCATGAATTCATGAACGTAAACAACAACAAACCAGCTAACAGGTCAACAAATACAATCATCAATATTCTTATGCCTGCCTAGTGTTTGATAGGGATTTGGTTATGATAATACCATAACATTTGGCTTTATTTAACTATTTTACAATAGGAAACCAAAAAAAAAAAGCTCATTTAAATTTTTACAAATTAGTTAAACCAAATACATAGAAAACAACAACAAACAACAAAATTTTTTAAATTTTGGAAAAAAAAAAAAAAAAATAAAAAAAATATATTTTTTAAATATTTAAAAAAAAAATAAAATAATTTTAAAAAAAAACAAAAAAAAAAAAGCTCATTTAAATTTTTACAAATTAGTTAAACCAAATACATAGAAAACAACAAAAAACAACAAAATTTTTTAAATTTTGAAAAAAAAAAAAAAAAAATAAAATAAATATATTTTTTAAATATTTAAAAACATAATGAAATAATTTTAAAACTATAATAAATAGAATAGGCAATATATTTTAGAAACGCTTATCCAAATCATCCCAAGGGTGGAAAAAAAAAAGTTTTCTGTTTGTACAGATAATGATTACCCCTCTCTGCTCAGAAAAGGATGATATGCTGCTAATGGGAAAAAAAGTTAAAATAACTCCTTTAAAATAATATATTTATTAAATTCTTAAGGATGAAAAGAATGTAAACAAACATGTCAACATTATTTGACTCTGACATTATCCACCTGAGTTGATAATTTTTCACAAATATACACAATGAACTACTCAAGCATACAATATTTATAGGCATCTAGTCATTCAAGCAGATTGTTACATTTTGTGACACTGAAGCCACTCACAAATCAAGAGACCCAATAATAAAACTGAAAACAATACATTCATATATGACAACAATTCAAAATCCTATAGATAGATGCTGCTGAGATTTCCACACAAAAATCCAAAAACAAAAATTATATCTCTTCAAATGTCTAATTATGGCATGTTCATAAATGACATTTAAGTTCATAGCAGTTAACAGGGGTCAGTGAGATATTTTTTTGTGTGTACATTTGATCCAGGCACTCAATGAAAACCATCAAAAATATTTCTCTGAAGAAAAATATTTTAAAAAATCTACAATACACTACATAACATTTTATTTGCTTGCATTATGATTAAATAAATAAAATAGAATCAAAACATAGTATTTTTAAAATTAAAATGTATCAGATTTAAATAATATTCAGTAACATCCTTTATAGTTAAACATGTAAGTGAGTTAAAACATAATGCCACCAGAATGACACTGGACACATTTTTTTTTTTTTGCTTAACATTTCTTTGGGAGTGTATGTTTAAATCTCATCTGGGATATTCTATTGCAATGAATTGCAAGAGTTGCCCTCCCTAATAACTCATAATCTTTTAACTCAGTTTCCCAAAAAGGGGCCCAGGTCCCACAGGGGGCAATTTGAATGTGTGTTTTTTTTTTTTTTGGGGGGGGGGATTCGAAAAATGAGCTGTCTAGATTTTGAAAACCAACTGTCTATTATGACTTAACTTGTATTTTAAAAGGAGAATCATTAATCTTAATTTA